ATGTTATGCAGCTTTCCCTCTATGTTTTCTTTTAGTAGCTTTATAGGAACAAGACAGGGAAAAAGGCATGCGAGTGCCATTCTTCCTATTTAGGTTTGAAGATGTTTATTCTTTACTTCTATGTAGGGTTTTTAGAGGACAGAACCACAGGGAGCTGCTAGAAAGGCAAATGGTCAAGCCCTTCCCTGGGGGAATTTGGAAGCTGAGCTGATCCCAGGAGTACAGCTGCTGGGAGTGAGCAAATGGTTCAAAACTCCCCTTTGTCCTTTGTGCTTCTAGTGGATTGAATTATGTCCCCCCAAAACTCACTGAAGCTTGAATTGTGTCCCCCAAGTTTTATGTATTAGAAACTTGGTCCCCACTGTGACTGTTAAGCGAGTGGGAAATCCTATTATAGTAATTGAAAGGTGGAGCCTTGAAGAGGTGATTGGATTGTAGGAACATGCCATAGAGAATGGATTAAAAATGGTGCTCAGGGGCATGGTTCTGAGGGCTTTGAAAGAAGAGAGTCTGTCTTTCTCTCTTGTACTCTCTGCTCCACTATTTTCACAATGTGATTGATACTCTGCTGTCACTGTTGCCACCACCAAGACCTTCACCAGATATGGTACCTGGATTTTGGACTTTCTACCCTCCCAAACCATAAGAAATAAATTTTGTTTTCTTTCAAATCACCCAGTTTCAAGTATTTTGTTATAGGCAACAGAAATGGACTAATACAGTGCTTGAGGAAAATTTTTTTGAAGCCATGTCCTTGCCTCATGCATGGTGATTTAAGAGCCAAGCCTCCAGAAGAGACTGTAAATGTTAAGTACTATATGTGTGATGTAAGCCCCTCATCTCTTGGAAAAAAGCTGGGAGTTGGGATTTCCTTCCAAGTTTTCAGGCACTCTGCTCAGGGTGGGCTTAGTGCATGAGTATATCTCTGCTTTTCCTTCCCATTTTGATCTGGCTGCTTCCTCAGTCATCTGGCATGTAGGAATCTTTTAACTGGAATCTGACTGAGAGAACTGATTCATGTGTAGATGTTTATTTGGTGTGTCTGTGGGAAGAGGGGTAGTCTGGAGCCTCCTATTTGCTATGTTGCTGATATTACTGTCTCTTTTTAAATGTAGGTATGTGCAAATATAAGTTTTTCTCTTAGCACTGATTTCATCTCATAACTTTTGATATGTTGTGTTTTTATGTTGATCTCAAAGTATTTCTTAATTTACTTTGGGGTTTCTTCAAGACCTATTGATTATTTAGCAGTGTGTTTAATTTTTACATATTTCTGAATTTTCTAAACTTCTTTCTCTTATTAATTTCTAGTTTTATTCTATTGTTGTCAAAGAATGTTATGGTCTGAATGTTTGTCCTCTCCAAAGCTCATATGGAATCTTAACCCCCAATGTGGCAGTTTCAAGAGGTGGGACCTTTGAGAGGTGATTAGGTTGTGAGGGCGATGCCTTTATGAAAGGACTAGTCCTTTCACGGATTAATGAATTAAATGGTTAAGGGATGAGTGGGTTATCATCGGATGGGTACTGGTGGCTTTAGAAGGAGAGCAAGTGAGTACGTTAATGAGCTCCCAGACCTCTCACCATGTGATACCCTGCACAGCCTCGACATTCTGCGGAGAGTTCCCACCGAGAAGATTGCCTCACCAGATGTACCCATTCAACCTTAGCATTCCCAGCCTCCAAAACTATAATATATTAATTTTCTTTATAAATTAAACAGTTTCAGGTATTCTGTTATAAGCAATGGAAAACTAACTAATACAGAGAACATACATTATATGATTTTAATCCTTTTGACTGGTTTTCTAACCTAACACCTGCACTATCCTGGAGAATATTCCATATAAATTTGACAAATCTCAAATTATTCTGCTGTCATTGGGTGAAATGCTCTAGTGATGTCTGTTATGTCTAGTGGGGATATAGTGTTGTTAAAGTCTTCTATTTCCTTGATGATTTTTTTTTTAGTCATTCTATCCATTATATAAAGTGAGGTATTGAAATTTCCAACTACTACTTTTGATTTCTCTCTTTTTCCTCTTTCTTTGTCTGTAGCAACAACTGTTGTTTTAAAGTCTATTTTAGTTAACATTAGTATAGCCTCTTCAAATTTCTTTACATTATAATTTGAACGGTATGTATATTTTCATCCTTTTATTTGCAACCTATTTGTGTTTGAATCTAAAGAGAGTGTCTTGCAGACAGCACGTAGTTGAATTACTCTCTCATATCGTCTTAGTCAGTTTGGGCTGCTACAACAAGGTACAAGAGACTTAGTGACTTATAAACAGCAGAAATTTACTTCTCACAGTTCTGGAGGCTGGAAGTCTGAAGGCAGGGTGCCAGCACAGTCAGATTCTGATAGAGGCCCTCTTCCTGGTTTGTAAATGGCCATCTTCTCATTGTGTTCACACATGCTAGAGAGCAGAGAGGGAGGATAGCTTTCTGGCCTCTTCTTATAAAGGTACTACTTCCATTTATAAAAGCTCCACCCTCATGACCTAATCAATTCTCAAAGGCTCTACCTCCAGACACCATCACAATGGGCATTAGATTTTAATGTATAAATTTCAGTGGGACACAAATACTCAATTCATAACATGAATCATTTTATTTCAGGCTGAAGATTTATTTTTTGGCATTTTTGTAAAGCAAATCTACTAGAAACAAACTTTCTCAGTTTTTGTTTATCTGGGAAGGCTTAACTTTATTTTTGGTGGATAATTTTGGTGCTATAGAATGCTTCATTGATAGGTTTTGTTGTTGTTGTTGTTGTTGTTTTGTGTTTCTATTTCAGCATTTTGAATATGCCTTCTTGCCCCTGTAGTTTCTGATGAAAAATCAGCTATTATGTTATTGAAAATTCTTTGTATGTAATGAGTTATACTATCTCTTGTTGCTTTCAAGATTGTCTCTTTGTTTTTGACAGTTCTATTATTATGTGATTATACATGGATCTCTTTGAATTTATTATATTTGGAGTTTGCTGATCTTCTTGGATATGTAGGTTAATGTTTTTCATAAAATTTGGGAAGTTTTCAGCAATTAATTTTTTGAAATTTTTTCCATACCTTTTTATTCTCCCCTCTGCTTCTGGGATTCTCATTATGAGAAGATTGGTGCACTAATAGCGTGCTACAGGTCTCTGAAGTTGTGCTAATTCTTCTCATCTTTTTGTGTTCCTTAGAGTAGATAATCTCAATTGATCTATCTTTACGTTTACTGATATTTTTTTCTGCCTGCACAAATCTGTTATTGAGCTCCTCTACTGAATTTTTCATTTCAGTTATTGTACTTTTCTATCCCAGAATCTCTGTGCATTTCTTTTTATAATTTCATAATTTTTATCTCTTTATTGATATTTTATGTTTGATGAGATATCATTGTCATACTTCCTTTAATTCTTAAGATATGGTTTCCTATAGAGCACTTTGCTAGGATTCAAACAACCTTTTTTTTTTCTTTTTTTTTTTTTTTTTTTTTTTGTGACTGGTAAGGGGATCATAACCCTTGGCACCGGCCATCCCTATATAGGATCCAAACCTGCGGCGTTGGCTCTCCCAGCGCCACTGCGCTCCCAGCGCCACACTCTCCCGAGTGAGCCACAGGGTTGGCCCCAAACAACTTTTTAAAGTTACAAATCTTGTGTTCACATCTTTATCACTCACAAGAAAAGAGTCCGGGGCTGGGTTTTTACCTCAATACACTTTCCTTCTCCTCAACATAAATGTAGTGCTACTTGCTTACTCAGAGGCTGCTGGCCAATTAATACTTTCTTATTCACAATGAGGTCTTTATTCACAATGAGACTCCCCTCTGTCTCAGGAATGCCTCTCAGCACCAGAAGTAATAGATTCATAACATCAATTTTAGTTTCCCTTTGGGAACTGAGTTTGTTCTGCCTTACTAACGAAAGAAATAGCTCTCATATGGGTAGTGGGCTTAGAGGGTGGCTTAAAGGCTGGAATTTAGATGGAAAAAAAGTTTATCTTAAGGAAAGAAAGAGCTCCAACACCTGAAGCCATAGGAAAGACAAATATGGGTGTATGGGATTGGGGGGCAGCAGACCATCTACAAGTATGGAGTCTTTTGTATCCTCTGAGACAGAACCAAGGGGGGAATTATGAAAGAGGAAGGTAATTTTTATAGGTATTTATAAGTGACAAAAGAGAAAAGGGAAGCCTTATTGCCCAGAATGTGTCCTTTGTATACGCTCATTAGTGTTTGTGTTAAGGTAGGGAGTGTGGGTGGGGTAAGTGTATGTGTATGTGAAATGAAGGCTTCCTACTAATCTCTCTCTAGAGAAACCGTGACCAACTGCTCTCCTGAGGACAGTGTGAGTGTTTGCCCCAAGTCCCAACCCTAACTTTAATCCCTCCCAACCCTGGTCTATTTGGCTGATTATGTGTATTTCTAGGAGATGCTGGATAAAGATGGCTGTACCTAACTTGTAAGACAGAACATACAGTTCTGAAGTCAGTAATCATTAAAAGAGCAATAACAAAAATGTAGGGGGAAAAAATCCTCGCTTTCAAATGGACAGTTTGTGTTGAATATGCTGTGAGCTGGTAGTGAATGGGCACAGCTTTTCCAGGATACAAACAGAAGAAAGGCATTCTGGGGAAACTAGTGTGAGTTTATGTGCATGGAATGCTAGAAGGCAGATTGTTGGATTAGAATTTAAGGGAGAAAAAAGGAAACCAAAAGCACTAGGTAAGAAATGCTTTTCCTCTTTTTAAAGGAGTATGTAGAGAGAGGAGTTTATAGGAAGAGGACAGTCTGTGTGTTTAAAAAAATACCTTTACAGACCTAAGTATCGGAACAGAATTGGGGGTTAGACAGATAAAGAAGTTGAAAACTGTTACAGATGAAAAAAATTAACCAACTTCCAGGTGGTTAATGAGTAACATATTTTGGCGGGAATGCAAACAGCCAGCTAAATTTTCCATTTCAGTTAGACAATTAAATGCTTCAAGTGTTAGAGAAGACTTTGTTATCAGATTCCATGGACTTTCCACTCTATCTCATCCTCCAGCTCCTCATGCTTCTCATCTGGGTAGAAGGATCAGGTAACTCTTCACTTTTTCTCTCAAATGCATTTGGTTGGAAATCAATGGTAAATAAATAGCAGGCTGTAGGCTATTTGCTTTTATAAAGTTAGGTGAACAGCGCCTCATGTATGGATCTGTATGCTGATAACGTAGCTATTTAATCATGTAGCTAGCAAATTGTTTATTTTTTGCTTCTTTTTTTTTTAGCAAATAGCTTAAAGTGAGCAAATTTAAAAGTGACTTAATAGACAATGAAAGAAAGGTAATAAGCACTGCTTCTGAAGTATGTGCAAGCAGCTCAATCTAAAGGCCTTAAACCAGCTGGAATCAAAGAGCTTTTTGCAAATTAGTTTTGTTTTGTAGCATATTCCTGTGAACATATTCCTGCAGCATATGTGCCTTTTAATTTTGAGTTTGACTTGTTTTGAGGCTCTTCTTGGTTGTGAAGAAGTTTTTTATTTTTATGTTGTCAAGTCTGTTAATCGTTTCCTTTGTGGCTTTCTCTGTTGTTACAAGCTGAAATACTCCTGAGAGATATTAAAGATTTAACAAATATTCAGTCATATTATCTTCTAATTGTTTAAAGTTGTTTGATTAAAAGATACTTAACTTGAATCCATCTAGAATCAGTTCACGATAAAGGCAATAACCAATGTTCTGTAAGAATTCAGGTGAGAAAAAAATTATGATAATTTCAGGAGAGAAAAAATCATAATAACTTCTGGTTCAGGAGGGATTTTTTTTTTAATAAGTATCATTTGAATTCAGTTAGATGGTTCAATGAAAGTTGAATGGTGGGTGACAGATGACGAGAACTAAAGGAGGGTGACAGGTAGAGGAAACCAATATGTCCATGTTACTTCTCCCCAACCTACTTCAGCATGTAAAATGCACAATAAGGAAGACTGGTTTTGTCATCACCTAGCTCAGAATTTAGTGGGGGAGACAAACATGTGAACAAATAATGAGAAGGGGTGTGGTAAGCACAATTACAGAAATTGTTATGAAAATAGTGATGGAGAGCTTGATTATTACTTTTTTGTGTTACTGTTTTATTTTCCTTTCATGTTATTGGGCTCTTCCCTGACGGCAGGGACCACATTACCTATGGTAGCTAAAATGCCTGTGGTGATTTATAACTATCAGTACATCTGCATGTTCTCAGTTTGTCCAGTACTCTGTGAGTCACGTATCATTAAGCCTATTTTTCAGATGAAAAACTGAGGCTTAGAAAGGTAAAGGATTGCTACAAGACCACACTCCTAGAAATCAGCCTGGGTAAAACATCAACACAGAATTTTGTTGACAAGTGCTATTTATACAACAAAGCTGTTTTATGTATTTTCAATATTCCAAAATGCTGTACATATAGTTCCAGACCAATGAATTAAAATTGCTTATAATTTGATCATGAAAGTCAAGAGAAGTAAATGAAAAACAGAGAATATAATATGAGCTAAGTGGATCAAGGTGCATGAAGATCATTTTAAACCTTTATATTTAAGTAAAAGAGACATACAGGAAAGTGTACGGATCATAAATATAGGGTTCGATGAATTTTTATAGTGATCATACCAGTATATCCAGCACAAATCAAGAACAGAATGTTAGGAGCATCCCAAAAACTCACTCATGCCTCCTTCCTCTCACTATCCTCTTAAGGGTACCATTATCCTAACTTCTTATACCACAGATTTATTTTATCTGTCATCGATCTTTTTTAACATAAATGTAATCGTTTAGCATCTTTCGTTTCTGCTTTCTTTGATTCAACAATATATTGGTGAGATTTGTCTATATTGTTGAGAGCAGATTTAGCTTATTAAATCGCATTGTTGTATATGTAATGTTTCCATTATCTAATACCATAATGTATTTATCAGTACTACTGTTGATTTGGATTTGGGTAATTTATTGGTTTTGACTATTACAAATAGTGCTCCGATGAACATTCTTGCTCATGATTTTTGGAGAACACACACACGTATGTGTATTTCTATTAGGTATGTTCTCAGGAGTAGTTTTACTGTTCATAGGATAGGACTATATTCAGCTTTAAGCTACTGCCAAAGAGTTTCCCGAAGTGGTTGAAAGAATTTACACTCCCATCAGCAGTATGTGTGAGTTATGTTTTCTATACATCCTCACTGAACATGAAACTTGGTATTGTTTGTCTTTCATTTTAGTCATTCTGGTGTATACATAATCTTCATTTTAATTTTCATTTCTTTGATGACTAGGTAAGCTGAGCACCTTAAATATATTTATTGGGCACTCAGATATTCTCTTTTGTGATGTGCCTATTCAAATATTTTTGCTCCATTTTTTCCTGAGTTGCCTGTCTTTGTCTTATTGATTTTTGAAATTTTATATATATATATATTAGGATACAAGTCTTTTGTCATGTATATACAGCAAATATCTTCTCTTACTCTGTGAGTTAGTTGCTTTCTTACTTCTGAAGATGTGTCTTTTAATGGACTGAAATTATTAAATCTTAAAATAGGCCAAATTTTCACTTTTTATTTTTTATTATTTCATATCCCCAAGAAAGAAATAAGGCATCAAATAACTATGGCTGTGTGTTCTATTTAAGAAATCACTGGCTACCGCAGTCATATGGATGTTCTACAATACTTCATTTTAAAAAGCTGTGATTTATCTTTTACATTTATATCTTCAAGGCATTTAAAATAGAGTTTTGTCTCTGGTCTTAGGTCAGTGTCATTATACAATATATAATATTATATATTATAAAATATATATAATTTAACAAATTATATATAATTTGTTAAAAAGTATGTATAATTTAACAAATTAAAAATTATATTTATATATATATATATATATAAATATAATTTTTAATTTGTTAAATTATACATACTTTTTAACAAATTATATATAATTTGTTAAAAAGTATGTATAATTTAACAAATTAAAAATTATATTTTATATATATACATATATATATATATATATATAATTTTTACCCACATGAGTATTCAGTTGACACAGCATCTTCTATTGAAAAAATTGTCTTTTTCCCAGTCCTGTGCATTGTCTGTTCCATTTGTCATATATATCTGATGACCTTATATGTGTGGGTCTGTTTCTGACTCTGTTTCATTGTGTTTGCCTATCCTTGAATCCATATCACATTGTATTACTTTAGCTTTATATCTGGATAATAAGTTTTCAGTTTACTGCCTTGGCTTTTTTAGAATCAGCTTGTCAATTTCCAGAATTAAAGTTTTAAAAACTGTTTGAATTTTGATTAAGTTTGTATTGAATCGAAAATTTAGTTTGGAGAGAATTGACATATTTATGGGTTTTTTTTTTTTCTATCTTTGAATATGATGCATATTTCCATATATTTAAATCTTCTTTTTCTCAGGAATATTTTGTAGATTTTAGTGACGTGATCTTGTATATCTTTCAACAGATTTATTCCTACATATTTTTTCTTCTTTTTTTCAAGTGTTTATTTTCTAGTTTCTTTCTGCAGATATATGGAAATACAATTGACTTTTTTTTAATGGTATTTTGTTATAGCAGTCCCTGGAAATATAATTGACTTTAAAAAAAATTTTTTTTAGAACAGTTTGAGGATTACAGAAAAATTAAGAAGATAGTACAGAGTTCCCATATACTCCCTTACCCAGTTTTTCCTATTATTAACATCATGCATTTGTTAAAATTAATAAATGAGATTTGATGCATTATTCATAACTAAAGTCCATAGTTAATTCAGATTTCCTTCGTTTTTACTTAATGTCTTTTTCTGTACCAGGGTTCCATCTAGGACACCATATTACATTTACTTGTCATATCTCCTTATACTCCCCTTGGCTGTGACAATTTCTCAGAATTTCCTTGTTTTTGATGTCCTCGACTGTCCTGAGGAGTCAGGTGTTTTAAAGAGTTACCGTTTATCAGAATTTGTCTGATGTTTTTCTCATGATTAGACTGGGGTTATAGGTTTGGGGAAGGAAGCCCACTGAAGTAAAGTGACATTTTCATCACATTGTTATCAAGTGTGTGTACTACCAGTCTTATACTTACAAAGGATACATTTGTGTAGATGTGAAGTATCACAGTTATTGACTTGTGTGTGTTGAACCATCCTTGCATCCCTGGGATGAATCCCACTTGATGATGGTGTATAATTTTTTTGATGTGTTGCTGTATTGTTTGCTACTATTTTATTGAGGATTTTTATATCTATGTTTATCAAAGATATTGGCCTGTAGTTTTCTTTTTTTGTTGTAATTTTGCCTTGTTTTGGTATCAGGGAGATGTTGGCTTCATAGAATGAGTTTGGGAGAATGGCTTCTGTTTCAATTTTTTGGAATAGTTTGAAGAAAATTGGTATTGAATCCTCTGTAAAGATTTGGTAGAAATCAGCAGGAGAGCCATCTGGTCCTGGGCTTTTCTTTATTGGGAGACTGCTGATTGCCGCTTCAATCTCTTTGCTTGTTATTGGTCTGTTCAGGTTTTCTGTTTCTTCTTGGTTCAGTCTGGTAGTTTGTATGTGTCCAGAAATTTATCCTTTTTCTTCCAGGTTTTCAAATTTGTTGTCATATAGTTGTTTATAATAATCTCTAAAGAACCTTTGTATTTCTGTGGTCTCAGTTGTAGTGTCTCCTTTTTCATTTCTGATTTTTATTATTTTGATCTTCTCTTTTCTTTTTATAGTTAGCCTAGCTAACGGCTTATCTATTTTGTTTATCTTCTCGAAAAAAACAACCTTTTGTTCATTGATCTTTTGTATCATTTTGGGGGTCTCTATTTTATTTATTTCTGATCTTAATTATATCTTTCCATCTGCTAATTTTGGGATTGGATTGTTCCTGTTTTTCTAGTTCTTTGTGGTATAGCTTTAGGCTGTTTATTTGAAATATTTCTGTTCTTTTGATGTAAGCATTTATTGCAGTAAACGTCCCTCTTAGTACTGCTTTTACAGTATCCCACAGATTTTGGTATGATGTGTCTTTATTTTCATTAGTTTCAAGAAATTT